CCAAGGTTACCTCTGAGCACGTGTCCCTCTTGATCCCTCTGACCAAGCACCTGCATGAATTGGGTCTTAGCTCGGCCGATCTCTCAGTCAAAGACGTGAATACATTCTTTGCCAAGGACGACAACGCAGCTCCAAGCACTCTCTGCTATCTCGACCTTGCCAAGGTGCCACAAATGACCATCGGTGCTATCTTCAACACAAGCTCATGCCTTCTACTATCCGAGCAGAGCTATCCTCTGCAGGTGATCGAGTTTAGTGATAAGATTATCACACCGCTCCGTGAGCGTGCCAAGACCCAGCGTGTGTCTGTGGGCTGGACCGTTCGTGACCTAGGCCGCCGCGGTTGGTATGTTCGCGATCCCGCATCGCTGCCAAATGAGCCTTTGGACGACGGTTACCGCTACTGGAAGATGGGAGCGCGCTGGTGGGGCATGCGCAAGATCCCTATGGCCGTCGGCGATGTTGGCGGCATCTATGGACACTATATGTTCAAGAAATGATTCTAGCTGGGACTATGCTTCTTCTTTTTTGCCTCGCAAAAATCCCGCACACCGCCACTTGCATTTCCTCTCTGATCTGATTCTCTCTTGCTCTCTTATCGATGGCGTGGTGTCAATACCCTGGTTTTTGTCTGCTTTCTCCCTTCTTATCTCTTTTTTCTCCGCATCTTCTTTTACTCATGGTACTATCTCGGGCGGGTTCTCTTTGATTTTTATGAATGATGATATCCGGTCTATGCATGGCGGCGCGCAACATGGCTTACGAATTTCGGCATTCCAGCTCCTTGCTTCGGGTTCGTTCTCTCAATCGCGTTCTGCAGGTTTTGCATAGCATTCAGGATCTCCTCAGCGTTTTCTGTTTTGTCAATCTGCTTTCTGGCGTTTTATGTGATCGATTGAATGGCGTACCCACATCAACTCTGCTCATGTTCACTTTACCTATCCCAAAACTATTTATTGTTCACCGAAACATCGTAGCTTAGTAACAAGATCATTGTTGAATGGATAATAGTTTTCTAGAAACGTTGTCTTGGCCTCTTAATATTCACTCAGTCAGCATTGGTCATCAGTTGAACGGTTTAGGGTATTATTCACCAGGTGATGTATCACGTGATGATTGGATAAAGAGCTGCGGCTCTTCTTTTGCTAGTTGCATTCACTTCACCCGCTGTCTCTGCGCGTCGAAGGCCTCGGTCCTTCTTCTTTTCGGCTTCACCCCAGGGGACTGGCTTATCCCGATGGGTCGTTTCGCTGTCATTTTCCAGGACAGTGAGAGCTGTCAAGAAACGTGACGATGGCACCTCCCAGCGGAGCCGCTTCTTACAAAAAGAAGGATGGCATCTTGACGCTGACCGCAGATGAGCAGACGCTCACCTGGACACCAGCAGCAGCTGGTGCTTCAGCTCTCTCGATCCCGGTGACTACCATCTCAAGTACGCAGTTATCCTTGATCGCCCGTCGAGCAACCTCACAGGACTTGCGCTGACTCGAATGACTAGATTTACAGCAAACCCCCGCTTCAAACCCGAAAGTCATGTTGAAGATCTTCGTTTCGGCCACCAACGCTCCTCCGAATAGCACCGCTGAAGCATATGTCTTTCTTTTCACGGCCGGTCCGGAAGCCCGCCCGCAGGCTGATGCCATCAAAGACACACTTAGCGCTCGAGTCAATGCGGGCAAACCAGGCACACCCTCCCAGACGCCGACACCCGGGGGAGGTGGAGGGAGTGTGTCGGCGGCCATGGCGATCGCGAATGCAGTTTCGTCGGCAGGATCGGCGAAGAACCCGTGGGATGACGATAATCGATTGAAGGGAGACGTGGAATTACAACAGTCGCTGCTGAAGGCGGATTCAACGCTGCAACGAATGTTCATGGACTCCCTGCACACAAAACCAGAAACGCTAGGCTCAGCACAGTTCATGTCACAGTTCTGGTCAACTCGATTGCACCTTCTCCGGGCACATGCCATTGAGCGCGCGCAGACAAGAGGCTCGTACAACGTTCTATCGTCATTGAAACCACGCGTCGAGGAAAACGTGACCCGGTTGAATATCAGCAAGGAGCAAATCCAGCTAATTTTCACGCAACATCCTCTCGTCAAGCGCGTATACGACGAGAATGTGCCGAAGTTGAGCGAACAGCAATTTTGGTCGCGATTCTTTCAGAGCCGACTGTTTAAGAAGTTACGCGGCGAGCGCATCTCTGACGCAGATGCCACAGATCTTGTGCCAGATAAATACCTACGGGATGATATCGCGGACATGAACCGCGAGGCCAATATCCCCCACTTTTTGGATATGGCTGGCAATGAGAGCCACAACAGCCAGCGCCGTGGAAACCGACCAGATCTGGACATGCGACCTTCCGGCGTGGACAAAGTGCCCATTATTCGGACCCTCAATAACCTGAGCGAGAAAATCATGGCTAATGTCGCACCAGCTGATGGCGACTTGAGCGCTCCCATTGGTGTGAATGAAGAGGCTTGGAAGAAAATGCAACTGCGCGATCTTCGTGGGGACGAGGAGCAATCTCGTATTGCACTCAATATCAGTGACCAGAATCGCTTCTTTTCCCATACCCAAGAGGATGACCAGAAACGGGCACTCAAGCAACAGGACCCAGACAAGATCCTGAGTAGTCTCCGCTCGGAGATTGCCCACAATTTGCCACCAGGTGGAATAACGCAGCTGCAAAGGCTTGTGGATCCAGGAGACGATGAAGACGAGGAGATGGAGGATGCGCCTGCGAGTCGTCGACCCGCTGGGTCCTCGGCAGCTCTACACGATGCATTTGTTCAAATTCTGGGCGCAGTACGTGAAAGGCGCACTCAAATGAGTGAAGCATCCACATCGGATACCTGTGGCTTACCGATAGCACTCTACGATCGGTTAACGTTGACCCACGCGACATCCACGGAATTCTTGAATCAATTCTGGCAGGCCTTCCTCTCAGGCAACCCAGAGCGTGCTGGTGAAGTGACATCTCTATCGGAGTCATTGCAGCGCGCAAAGGACCGTATTCAGGCTGTCGCAAATGACGCCGAGGCAGAGCGGCAAGTCGAGGTCAATCGCCTCAAGACTCATGCTCGCGAGGTCTATGAAAAATCCGGAAGGAAATTGAAAATGAATCTAGCGGGGGTTGAAGGCGGCCAGAAGGTTGTCAATCAACTACTAGGGCCAACTTTAAACGCCTTGGACCTCGCATTGAATCGGTACAAGACAGCTTTGGCGGAAGAAACGAAAGAAGCAGCTTCGTTGGCTGTGTAGATGAGACGACGCTTGCAGCAGAAAAGGAGATACATCCTGGCGTTGGTGGGATTGAAAGAATTGTATAATATATCACATACCATGATTTTAGTTGCCCTTGTTGCATTGATTATATTCCATACTCATGTTTCCTTTGTTGTTCCTTCGCGGTCTTTAAAAATAGGTGCTACTAGTAGATCGACTCGGCATGCCGAGGTACCCCAGACTTCCCGAGCTGCCAAGCTGGCCTCCCAACTTCCGCCCTCCATCCACTTAACACCCGTTGAACCTCAACTACACCTCCCGGCAACATCACCCTGCGCGGATTGCGATCGCCCCGAATGATCCATTCATTCTTGACTATAAAATAAACCCCAATCCCTTGGCCACAGCCTCGACCGTCCAAAATGCTTACGTCCGGTCTCACCAACACCCCGCTCACGAAATCCCTCTTAATCTACATCATCGCATCCTCAATCGCACTCTCAATCCTCGACATCAAGCATCTCGGCTCAATCTATGTATCTCCACACCTCTGGCCATATGCGCAATTTTGGCGCACTCTCATCTGGCAAGCCGCCGGCTTTGCCAACTCCACCGAAGCGCTCTTCGCCGCCATGTTGGTGTATCACCTTCGCGTCGTTGAGCGGGCATGGGGAAAGCGAAAGATGGCCGTAAGTCAACTTTTGCTCTTTCATTCTCTACAATGCATAAAAAGGTGGCAACCAACTCATCAGCACGATACTAACTATTCCTACAGACCTTCCTCCTCACAACCCTCCCGTTTACCACCATCCTGCCACCCCTCCTCCTCGCCATCCTCGTCCGCCCACTCTCCCTAAACAACCTTAACTACCTCCCCTCCGGCCCTACGGCAATGATCTTTGCCCTGTTGGCCCAATACCACGCCACAATCCCTCACACTTTCCGCTATCGCATCGGCACAACATCTTCCTCCAACACAGCAACCACAAGCACGACTAACAACAATACCCACAACAATACTGACAATAGAACCCCAAGCCCCAAACCACCCCCACCAAGCCTAACTCTTCTTCTCTCCGACAAATCAGCAACCTACATAATCGCCGCCCAACTCGCCCTCTCCCAATTTCCCGCCTCGCTCCTCCCAGCCCTAACAGGATGGATCGTCGGCACAGCCTGGCGCGCCGAACTGCTTCCAGGCCTCTCGCCCGCAAGCAATGGCTTCCGGGTCCCGGCGTGGCTGGTCGGTGAGCGTGAGCGAAGGGATGGAGGCGCCGCGAGTGCGGCGGCTGAGGGGGAGAGGGAGCGGTTTGAGGATATGAGGCGAAGGCTTGAAGGTGAAGCAGAAGCTTCTGGGTTGGAGGGGGCTGCGCCGGGACAGAGGCGGAGAAATGGGGGTAATGAGGGTGGTGGACTTGCTGAGAGATTGAGGGGTGCTTGGTGAAGTGCATCATGTATTCTTGTCTTTGGTTTATTTCCAGCTTATCATTTTGGAATGGAACCCATACTGGTGTTGTATGCCAGGTGAATGAACTACTTACCGGTCAACTCATATTCAGTAGTGCCCACCTAGTTGAGTACCACTGGCACACGATATCAATGTCTACTGGTAAACATTCAAGGAAATTTAGCTTTATAGATGTCGATGTAACATAGGGTACCTGTAGGTACTACTAGTAGTATGAGATTAAAGCAAAACACCGATAACAGTGGGTATGATTGTGCCAACTTGAACGCTAGTCTATATGTTATCCTGAACCAATTTTACCTCAACGCCCACGCGTCGACCGCATGCCGGTCTTACATTCATCACAATACCATTTCACTGTGTAGAGTTAGCATTGTATCCAGCACCGGCTTAGTATAAGCATGTATGGGATTGGACTTACCATTCTTGCCAGGCGGTTTTGTCATTCCGACACAAGACAGATGGAACCATTCGCGAGGACAAGCGTCATTATCGCAAGCCACCATCTCGCCAAAGCTGATTTCATTACAGTAGCAGTATCGAGGCTCGCCCTCTTCGTCTTCGTCGTCACCCTCATGAAGAGATTCCTCGTCAGAGGGGATAATAGGTGCAGGGGCTGGAGCCGTTTTCTTGGGATTTCGTTTCGGCGCTGGGTCTGTACTTCGTGTAGGTCGTGAACGCGATTGAGTAGTTTCTGCAAACGCGGAAACGGGCGTGGTTGTCTTCGAGTTTCGTCCTTTGGCGGACTCAGCCTCGGCCGATTCGGCTTTTCTTCCGTCTCCCTCATCGCGTCGGACTCCCGCAGTGGCTGCTCGTACACCTGCCTCGCCATTGTAATCCCGGTTTCCATCTCCATTCGCGACTTCGTTCTTGACGGAAGATGTGTCGCGGGGCGTAGACTTGGCATCGGATGGCTTTGAAGCATTCCCTTGAGCAAGGCGGTTGGAAGTCGAGGACGATGGTCGTTGGCGGGCATTGCTCGTTTGACCAGCATTCTGCTGAGCTCGTGACGACTGTGGCCGGGCTGTGCTCGGGCCTGGGCTTGCAGCTCCGCGTGGGGCATTGAATGTTCCGATAAGAGGCGAGGGGGCCAGGACGGGTGATCCAGCATTGGATGTGACATTCGGCCTGTGGAAGAAGAGACGCACAGTTAGCACTATGTGTATTAGGGGTAACTTGGCCGGAAACATACTTCTTGCGCGCTGCCGCAGCATTAGAGTTTGGTGCACGAGATCGCTTCTTCTCTGTGCCATCCTTTGCGGACGCTCGCTGATTGCCTGTGCCGCTGGCGGAACGCTCCATCGGAGCGCCCATATCTATCGCCGTAGGCCGCTCTACCTTCCGGCGCTTAGGTGCCTGATCTGCAGGCGCATTATCTGCGCGAGACTTTCCGGTATTAGTTTTGCGAGCAGCACCGCGGGGTTCCTCGTAATCCGCGTCAACATGGTTCCGACGTCGCCGCGCTTGGACAGCTTCGCGCCGAGCTTCACTGCGACTAGCCGCTTCAGCTTCGTGAATCGCGTAGGCAATGTCTTGTCGCTGGGATACTGCTTCCCGGCGGGGTCGTTCATTGGTGGCTGCTTTCGCAGTACTCTTGTTGGAGTATGCCCAGTGTGTCATGCTGCCAAGGCGAGCCTCCTCGCTGATTTCCCCCGCGATGTACGGGAACACTGTATCCAACCGAATGATCTGGCGATCCAACTCTTCGTTCGCATTGGAAATTACATGGTTCTTTTCATCAGCTGTCATCATGAGATCGGAGAGGCTCTGTCGTACGCGATCAAAGAGAAGTCGACGGCTTTGGCTGTCGGGTGTCTCGGGAGGCTGAGTGACGTCCTAAGGAGAGCAAGTCCATTAGTATGAGTTCTTGCCCCTTGAAAATCTTTGGAGGGCACATTTGAATCGGCTTACCTTTGGCAGAAAATCTTCACGAACGACACCCCAACAATGGGCGTTGGGATTGGAGGGTGAGGGACGGGCTGTGACTCTGAGGAGTACTTTAGCAATTGCAGCAAGTTCTCCTCGAGCGCCCACGCCTTGGCGTCAACTTCCTTCAACAAGGAATTGTGTCGGCGAAACTCGCGAGGGAGCGCGGTGATTGCATCAGTGAAGTGAGTGAGGGCAGGGTAGAAGCCATGAGGAATGGGGGCCGTCGCAGGACTCTCAGCATTTGAGGGTCTACCGAGGCCAAAAGAGGACCGTCCGGTGGTCTTGGAGGTCCGCGATGGATTTGTCCGTGTTTGGCGAGAGGATTGTCGGACGGCCGGGCCCTGGGGATTCAGGGTTGACGAGGAGACGGCAGACATGGTGAAGGGTAAGGTCAGGCCGGGAGTTGCAGCGCTAGAAAAGCTTGCGAGGCGGGCCTGGCCTGCTGAAAAAGTGCACAGGAGGGGTATGAGATAGCAATGTTGGTATGTGAAAAGGAATACAGGCAAGGCTTGGACAAATTCCTGAAAAACAGCTGTGAGATGGCGAAGGAGGAGCAGCGGGAGGTTTGCGTGCGGAGAAGAGCGCTGGGTACGCATGAGGGATCAGGTGAGTTTTGGCCAAAATTGTCAGGCAGAAATAATTAGTCAGCAATCTACAATGATGTCATCTGACAGCATTCAGGTACATCCAGTAACTATAAACTAACTATAAACTACAGACTACAGTGTATGTACTACAGTATATGCAATAGAATACTGCGATACCATGTGCGGTACTATATAGTCTTCTAGGTCTCACAAGGTATCTAGGCAATACAATAATACAGTCATTAGTTCGTATTTTCGGTAGTGATGACCTGTAAAGAAACTTGAACTGCTGTTTATCAAGATGAAGGCATGGCTCATGCTGGCTGAATTTGGCACCGCAACCCCAAACGTCTACTTACCATTTCTACAGCTACCATCCTCCTATATTAGTAGTAATCACGGTTGAAACACATCTGGGCCATATATCGACCCTGGGCCCAATTGACATGGAAGAGAGAAAGTTATCTTTTCTTTTGCTGCCTCCTATACTAAGATGAGAATCCAGATCTAAAAGAGCTGACTATACCAGTACTAGTATTGCCTCATTGGAACAATCAAGTGAGAGCAAACGAGAACTTGAAGCCCCTTCTTGCGGACTTTCTTTACCCACACAGCCTTCATCTTCGTCTACTTTTTCCCTCAGCCTCTCCCTCCCCCTCCCCCCTCCCAGGTTCTTCGCTCTTCCCTCCCCCCCCCATCTGTTTCCACTGCCTCTTCTTTTATCCTCTCATTCTCACCCTCATCCTCCTTGTTGTCACCATCATATTATCTGACTCCGTTCTGTTGCATCACTCGCTCTCACCCCAGGGGCTGGACTCAGGGCTCTGCTCCTCACAGCCCTGCGCACCACCATCTTGCGTGTCAGTTACAACTCTCATCTTTCATTCAAGCCTTTCCCGCACAAAAGCAGCTAACATGAAAGCTCCAGCTAGCCAGCCCAGTCTTCCCAGAAACCTGACCATGCAACAAAAACGGCAAATCATGGTGGCCCTCTTCGCTCGCGAGGGCCACTGCTTCTCCCAAGACCGAAAGAATAACCGTCAATTCGAACATAACGACTTCCTCTGGAGTATCATAATTCGTCCCAAGAGACCGCAAGGTCACGACAGCGACTGTTTCGACATCCGACACACAAGCTCAGAGCCAGTGCGTCGCAACCAGCCCAAGCCAAAAGGACAATGGCAGTTCCGGACCATCACTCAATACGAGCCCACAAAGGACCACCGCTTGCTGGGACAGTTGATGATCGGCAAAATTCCTCATGAAGTCAGTCACAATGAGATCATGGAGCTTCTCAAATCGATTGATCATCCGCGCAAGGACGCTGAACATCATGAGAACGGTATCAACTGGATCAGAACTGCTATTAGGCATCTCCAGATGACTGGGATTGGGGAAGAGTTTGATGTCGATGAATTCTTGGATCACGCGCGTGATCGTGCTATGGTCGCGAGTCATGACGGTCGACCTTTTACTATCAACTACACCTCCCGACCCATGTAAGGCAGGCAGACAGACAGACAGGCAGACAGGGCCGAGGGCGCTGACATGCCTCATTGATGCTCTATCGGTAGAGCTAGCGGGCCGCAGTCTTCTTTTGTATCAAGATTGATCGATTGATTTCGTTTACCCATGACAATCTACTACTAATAAACGCCGGTTGACTTTCTACAAAGCAACAAGCTACACTAATCTACTTTTCAATATGCAGCAAACTCCTCGCTAACCGACCAGTTTTACCACGCACAATCAACTAATTAACAGTACATGTCGCCTGCCCTCCTACAAGATCAAAGATTACATTGACTCAGAACTAAAGCCTTAAAAGTCGACCAAAGGACGTTTGAATACCGTGAAGCCTATTAAGACCGATGAACCCTGAATGCAACACTAAATGAGATTTGTATTTTACAAAGACATAGGTCTATGTATAGACAGGTCTGTCTATCAGCAGGCAAGCCAACGACAAATAACGGGTCGTATACACAAAGAACGAGAACACGATACAACCCATGCAAATAATAGGAAAGGTGTTACAAATGAAACAAGATGGAGCGGACGCTAGCTCGCACGCGCCCCAATGAACATAACATTAGGAAAGCAACCAAATCGAACATTCAAATGCCGTGGCTCCCACAAAAGACCCGCTATTAAGGGGTCAATTCGCCGGGGGCGTACATGCAATGAATTTACTCGCCCTTGAGGCGCTCCTGGTGAACGGAGAAAGCGTCCTCCAGGAACTCCTGCTCCTCCTTCAAGTGGACGGCCTTGAGACCGGTGGCCACGGAAGCACTGGGGGCACGACCGGCGTACAGGACGTGGCGGCGGTTGTGGTGCTCGGTCGAGTTCAGAAGGGTCTCGATACGGGGCTGGGCGTAAGACCAGGCACCGGCGTTCAGAGGCTCCTCCTGGCACCAGACGATGTCCTTAGCGTTGGGGTAGCTGTCAAGGTTCTCCTTCAGCTGAGCCCAGGGGAAGGGGTGCAGCTGCTCAATACGAGTGATGGCAGTGTTGCGGATACCCTGGGCCTCACGGTGCTTGGTGAGAGCGGCGTAAACTTGACCAGAGCACAGGACGACACGCTCAATCTTCTCGGGAGCCTCAATGGAGGCACCGTGCTCGGGGTCGGGGATGATGCACTGGAAGTGGGAGTCGCCAGTCATGCTCTCCAGGTCAGAGCGAGCGATGGGGTGACGCAGCAGAGACTTGGAGAAGAAGATGATGAGGGGCTTGCGGAACTGGCGGTGGATCTGGCGACGGAGAACGTGGAACAGGTTGGAGGGCTCAGTCATGTAGACGATCTGCATGTTGCAGTCCTGGTGTTGGCGGTCCAGTCTGTCAGCAACGGGGTACTGGCGAGGCTCCTCGTTGCAAAGCTGCAACCAACGCTCCATACGACCGGAGGAGTGTTCGGGGCCCTGGCCATCATAACCGTGAGGCAGAGAGACAACCAGACCGGAACGTTGCAGCCACTTGGATTCACCAGCAGCGATGAACTGATCAATGATACACTGAGCGTTGTTGGCAAAGTCACCGAACTGGGCCTCCCACATGACAAGAGCCTCGGGGGAGGTCAGGGAGTAACCGTACTCGAAGCCAAGACTGTGGAAATAAATTAGCCTCTTGATATCATGTTAAACTGACCAAGTTGTTTGGAACTTACGCGCCGAACTCGCTCAGAGAGGAGTTGGAGATGACGAAGCTGCCCTGCTTGTCGCTGATGTGCTGCAGAGGGGTGTAAGTGGTCTCGTTCTCCTGGTCGTGCACAACGGCGTGACGCTGGGAGAAGGTACCACGCTCGACATCCTGTCCGGAGATACGGACATGGTAACCCTCATCGACGAGCGAACCGAAGGCAAGAGCCTCAGCAGTAGCCCAGTCAATGTTCTTACCCTCCTCAACGGTCTTCTTGCGGTTGGTCAAGATACGCTTGAGGTTGCGGTGCAGGGTGAAGCCATCGGGAGCGCCGGCGACCTTGCCGGCAATGTGCTTCAAGGAGTTCTCACCCACGGCAGTGGGCAGGTGAGGCAGAACCTCGGTGGCCAGCTCCTTGGGGGTCTTGAAGTTGTTCCAGGCTGAAGTCAGCCACTCCTTACCGGTGGGCTGGTAGTCCTTGCTGCGGTCGAAGCTGTCACCCAGCATTCCCCAGACCCACTTCTTGTGCTCATCGATGTCCTCCTTTGTGAAGGTACCCTCGGCAATGAGCTTCTCGACGTACTTGTCGAGCTGCGCCTTCTGAGCAGCAATACGCTTGTACATCAAAGGCTGGGTGAACGAAGGCTGATCAGTCTCGTTGTGACCCTGCTTACGGTAGCAGACCATATCGATGACGACGTCGGTCTTGAACTCAGCACGCCAGTCAGCGGCAACCTGGCAGACGTAGTTGACAGCCTCAACATCGTCGGCGTTCACGTGGAAGACGGGAGCATCAATGGACTTGGCAATGTCCGAGCAGTAGGGGGTGGAACGGGAGAAACGGGGGTCGGTGGTGAAACCAATCTGGTTGTTGACAACGATGTGGATGGTACCGCCGGTGGAGTAAGCGGGCAGAGAGTGGAAGCCCATGGTCTCGTAGACAACACCCTGACCGGCGAAAGCAGCATCACCGTGAAGAAGAACACTCATGGCAGAGTCGTAGTTGGTCTCATCCTTGTTGTAGTGCTGGATAGCACGGGTCTTACCCAGGACGACGGGGTCCTCAGCCTCCAAGTGAGAGGGGTTGGCGACCAGAGACAGCTGGACACGCTTGCCAGAGGGAGTAGGGCGCTCGAAGTTCATACCAAGATGATACTTGACATCACCGGAGCCCTCCTCGGACGGCTCAGTGGAACCGGCGAACTCGCTGAAGATGGACTCGTTGGGCTTGCGAACGACGTTGGACAGAATGTTAAGACGACCACGGTGAGGCATACCGATGACAATGTCCTTGACGCCATAGTCGACACTGCGGTCAATGAGCGCCTTCATACCAGGCACAAGGGTCTCGCAACCCTCAAGACCGAAACGCTTGTCGTTGGGGAACTTGGTGGCCAGGAAGGACTCGAAGCTGGAACTCCAGATGAGACGGTCAAGGATGCGGCGCTTATCATCGACAGAGTACTTGAAGGGCGCGGGGATCTCGAAGCGGTCGCGAATCCAGTCGCAAGGCTTACGGTCGGGAATGTGGATGTACTCGACACCGTAGGAACCACAGTAGATCTTTTCGCAGGCAGCAATGATCTCGCGCAGAGTCATCTTCTTGCGCTCCTCAGTGAGGAAACGGGGCAAGATACCGGGTCCGAGAGCGAACTCTTGGTCCAGATCGCGCTCGGTGAAGCCGTAGTGGTCAAGCTCAAGCTCCTTGGGTTTGCTGTAGCCGAAGGCCTCGGCCTCGCCACGAATACCAAGAGGATCAATCTTGGCCTTGTGGTGACCGCGAGCCTGGTAGGCGCGGCACAGCAGCTGAACCTTCAAGTGATTTGTCACATCAGCTCCAGCGGCCATACCGGCACCGGGCATATCTTGGGGAACACCACCAGTGGGTGTAGGGACGAGGGTTGGGGGAGGAGTGAAGGCCTGGGAGATGGGCATGTTGCCATCTTCCATGTTCTTGAAGTAGGTCTGCCAGGAGATGTGAACACTGGACGGATCCTGCTTCCACGCCAGATACATCTCATCAATGTAGTTGGCGGTGCTGCCAGAGAGGAAAGAATCGTTAGGATCCTATTTCGCAAAGTCGCACCGTTACGTTAGTCAAGTGTTCAAGAGATTTTATATGACACTTGCTCATCGCATGCTTTCATGGAATTGGGAGCAACCAGGGGAGATTGATTCACTTACCACTCCGACAGAGGAGGAGGCGTAGGGCCGCGCGCCATCGAAAGCGCGCTCGACGACGGCGAGAGGTCGGCGGGCAGTCAGGTTAAAACCAGAGCTCTTCGAGGCATTGCGAGCGCTCGAGGCCAGGAAGAAAGACCTCCGGGCAGTGGCGGAAGACACACCACGCATGTTGGTGGCCTTTAGGGCGGTGTTTCTGAACATTGCGGGATTTTTCCGTCAAGGACGTAGGAAGAATCGGATGGGGGAGAGAGAAAGATATATGGGGGGAGGACACTGTGATTATCGTCTTAAAGCCGTAATGAGACCAAACTGAAGCAGTCTAGAACCAAGCCTAGCAGAAATATACTGGTCAGCGTCAAGTTGCCAGATTGTTTGTTCTCTCTCCTGCCGAGAGTACCGAAACACGGAGGAAAGGAAAGCTAAGGTAACGTAGATGGAACACGTACAGATCAAATAGCGCGAAAAGCAGGTGTCGACTAGTATTGCCGTAGCACCTGTATAGAAATGGAACTCATCAGAGAGCAGAAACACTGCTAATGACAAGGCAAACTGGAGATAGGAGTGGAGAGCAAGAGCAAGAGCAAGGAAAAGAAGCTGGGCGCAAAGGCAGAACTCAGCCTGGCAACCGGGCCGGAGAGTGGCTGGTGCGCTGAGTCAGCCCGAAGGATAGCCGACGTGGTACTAACACTACTGTTAACACACTGTTAACACTAGTAATCTTCCCCCGAACGAGCCACCACTCGCCACGGCCGGCTAAGCATTTCGGTGCTTCACGGGTGATTTCGGCCCAATCGGCCGGTTTTCAATTACGATGACGCTATAGTAACTATATACACAACCAGTCACAACCCACCACAGTAAATGCCTCCAATACATGTATTCAATGACTTCCAGTTGATCAATAAAAAACCATAATTTTGGGGTAATTGCCATCCAAATGCTCCAATTGCAAACGTTGAAAAGAAAAAGAAAGAATAAAACAATCGAACTCGAGACATGTCATTAAATCGTGAATGAATGACCAAATTAGCGCTTCGGTCCCTGAGCGTATTCATGATATGGACCCAATTATTATATCCAAGGCGAAATGGGATGTTTTTACAAAAGATTGAAGCGTTGAGGTCCTCCGGTCGTCGGCATTTCACCATCGTGGTTCGGGCAACCTGAGCCGTCCGTTCCGCTGGACGGGAGATCGGCGAGATGCCCATGGTGACCCAGATGCGCGCCCTTGAGCGGTGAAGCGGTAGAAGTATGACTCTCGTCAGGGGGATAATTATATGGTGAACTGATTCCGCCACTCCCTTCTTCGGCAGTGGGCCGCGCATCAATCGGACTAGCTTCCGCGAAACTAGCACGGTTGGAGGAAGGTAGGGTATGTGGAGGCGGACTGCTGGCGCTACTCCGCAGACTGCCATTGCTTCCGCCCCATGCCCCCCGACGCAGCTTCATCAGGGCACTCAATGTCATTTCATCATCCAGGTTACCCATATCGGCCAGCTGTGCTAATCCAGGGCTTGCCAGAGATGGGTTTGAATGGGCAGCCCCGTGTGCTTTCAGCGAGATCATCGAGTTGCGCGTGCTCCATTCACTTCGTTCCGTAATAGGGGTCAGACTGGGTTCTTGGAACTTGCCCCGGCTGCTAAAGCTGCGTGAGATGCCTTCAACTCCTCGCGGGCCAAAGTAGCCTCCATTTGTCAACTCGGAGGCTCCATGTGCTTGTGCGTAGAAGCCAAACTCCTGACCGTAGAACCCTTCGTCGTCATTCTCCAGTGCCTCTGCGTTGGCTGCCGCGACAATAGCATCGTCGTAGTATGAGTCATCGTCTTCGAAAGCATGATCATCATAGGGATCCTCGTAGGCTGCCATGTCAACAACTTGGCTGTCATCCGATACCAGCCCTGGTTGTGATTCGCCTGTATGCGATGCCTGCGAGAGACTTTCTTGTGCTTGAGAGCGCTCACTGGTACTGAACTTCCGTTCAAATTGGCTCTTGACGCTTGCTTCATTTGCTGCAAACGCCAGGGCATTATGCAGAAGATCCAGATTCTGTTCCGTCAGAACTCCACCATGAGCCCGGGTTGGTCCCATGTTGGGTATCGGCTCGCCAAGCGGACCACGTTTAATTGAAGGCGCCTGATATTCACTTGCGACACTAGGCATGTGTTTAAGACCCTGGCTAGCGTGCTCCTCGAGTAGAATCTCCCTTTCTAGAGCATCGCCGCTAGGATCGGGTTTCTGTTGTGGAGGGGCGGCTGGGGGGGCAACTGGTTTTCGTTCGTAGAGATGGCTGGTCTCATCATCGAAGATAGACTCGTCGAACCCTCCATCTTGATCGTCGCTGTCCAGGTCTCCAAATTCACCATCGTCAAAGTATAAATCATCATCTTCTTCATCAATGACTCGATTGCTTTGATCTGGAGGACCCCTACCAATACCCGACGACCGACGCAACTCAAGTGGTGGTGGAATGTCATCTTCTCTGGGTTGCTCGATTTCATCCAAATCAGGCGAAGGAGTCTTCTGGTCTTCTGGTGGGATTGATGTAGGTGGTAGTCCAGGAGGCGCAGGAGTTATTGGGCTTGCAACCACAGGCGATAACCCTGGTGCAGTCCAAGACTTGATTTCAGCCATTGAGGGGGCGGAAAAGTAATCTTCATCAGCGTCTGCATTCACACCAGGAATTCTTTCTTCCAAGCCATCGATGTCGTCTATCATATCTTGATCGAAATCCTCATCGAAATCATCAAAGTACCCATCTTCCATTTTGCGCTCGGCCTCCTTCGCTTTATGTTTTTCTTCGAGGAGTTTTTCCTGGGTAGAAGACTCCACTCCTCCCATGTCAAAGCTAAAGCGTGACGCATTGCTCTTCAGATGTTTGGGCAAGCCGGACGAAGAAGGCCGGGGTATGATCGGTATAATATCGTCATCCTGTTGGGGAGGTGGTGGGCTCGTCTTCGGCGGGGTTTCTGGGATATCGCCATATAGCTCTGCGAGGTGTTCTGCAGGGAGCTCGATCGGCGGAGAAACGCTTGGCTCAACGTTCTCGGTGCTTTGATCGGGTAACCGATAGGGCAGGTTTCTAGCAAACGGCGGCAAAGACTTTTCATTCCCGAGTTGAGCTTGATTCGTCAAAAGGCTTGACTGGAGATAGCCCTTGTTCTCAACCTGCAGCGCATTCTGGTCGTCCTCGAAGTGCTCCTTAAAAACCGGAGAGTGATCACTATGCTTCCTCGTTTGATCACTGAGTCGACTCGCTGGGCTCTGAAGTGTGGGTTGCGATGGCGATGCATCTTGTGCGCTATAACTTGCCCCATCAGGCGGACCACTCTGGGTGCCTGATACGTTTCGGCGAGGTCGTGGGGCTGAGAAGTCATGCACAATGCTTCCACGAATTCGAGGATCGTAGTCGTCTGGGATGGCAGGAACCAAGTTAGAAGACTTATGTTTCACCTCGTCTGTTCGATTGTTGCTCATTTGAGCGGATCGCCGGCGAGCAAGTAAAGACATCGGATTAAGAAGATGCAGCATCGCCTTGCCCGATTTGTGATGGGCATTATCCACAGGAACATCACGCTCCGCTGTCCGACGAACCATTGCATTTTCTGATCTGATATCTCTCGGTGGCACAAAGGATTTGTCTACCGGCAGGTCTTCGGGTGAAGGCATCATTCGGAAATGGTTTGTGCCCGGTCCCGCAGTTGGCGAACGTTTCTGGGTCTCACCGGTGGGTGTCTGCAAACTTCGTGTACCTTTCCCACCGAATGAAGGCCGGAAGGGAGAGGTTGGCTTGAAATTCGAGTCGCCATCGCCCTCTGGCCGTTGAACCCCGCCTGACGGCTGTAAAGTATTCTGTTGCGACGCCCACGCAGGCTCGGATTCGGGCTCAAGCACAGGTCCATGTTCCCCTAGGCTCGGGTGAGAGCTATCCTCTTTCTCCAGCGACGGGTGATGAACGGCAAGGCTAACAGAGGAAGACAACGGTGCGACAGAAGAGCTGAAGTTGAGCTTCGAGGCATCGTTCTCCAGTGGCAAGTCGGCCCAGGGCGGGGCATCATAGGGTGACCGTTCATCGAAGGGTGTGGTGAGGATAGGAGTATCTGGGATCTGAGGAAGCTGAGGCGGGGTGCTGAGCGGGCTGTCTATGGGACCTTTGAGACCTGGAGACGACGCGGGCGACGATACGGGCGGCGCGGTGGAGCGGCGATGGTCTCGACGCCAGTATGAGAAGACGGTGGACGGGGGCATTGTAGCCGGTGATCGGACCCGTACGGCACCAGTGGATAGCGTAGTTGCTGTTCAAGGAATATGCGACTCCATTGCTCTCAGGTATTCGCGTGTGGAGGGCACTGATTAGAGGTCGAAAGGAGGTGGGCCATCCAGTCTCACATACCAGACACCAGTGGGGCATGCAGCAGCCACTGGGCGTTGGGCGACCTAAAAGAGCCGCCTGCGGTGAGATGAGAAAGTGGCGAGTGAAACAAATATGATATGCAAATAAGTTGATGGTTTAAAGCTTGAAATCAAACAAACAAGAGAGAAGATTCAAGTTCAAGTTCAAGTTCAAGTTAAAATTGTCAACGTCAACAGCGGAAAAACAATCGGCCCCGAGTCCAACGAACCACCCTAAGTTTGGAGGAAGACGTAATCGGGCTGAAGCTCGACCACGGGACGATGTACAGGTTACACTGGTTCAGGTGCCTGGACCGATCTATACTTAGTACCGAACCTACTTGTAGCTACTTGCAGCTACTTGCAGCTACTTGCAGCTTAGAAGTTGAGTCAAGAAGGCGTGAATTCCTCCCCTCAGATCATACACAGGAAATAACTCGCACTATTTTACATGGATATCCTTCAATAGCAAAGATAGAATAAGAAAGGACGCCCAGAATGACAACGCTATAACGACCGACAAATTCAAAAAAAAGAATGAAAGTATTCCAGAAAAAAGGAACTTCAGGCGTAGCGGATGCTCTGCCTCCAGCGATCAATGACATCTTGCTGTGCAGTCTCAAGGGGCTGTCGCAAGGTTGGACCGCAGGTGCTGGGGTAGGGCATGTTGTTGTAGGGATAAGGGGACGGATAAGGCATCCCATACCCAGCAGATTGGCCCATGGGATATCCTGCCATTCCCTGGGATGCCATATTTACTGGCAACGAATACATCGAGGAGCGATGTCCAAGCTGGGGTCGCATGCCCTGCTGTTGGGGAAAGACATCGTACGACGACTGGCGCGCGACATATGCAGGACGAGATTGCGGGAGAGCAGCCATGCTTCGTCGCATTTGGAGATTTCTAGCATCCCCACGCTGTGTATTGTTTTCTCTTTGTAAACGAGCGCGTCTTTGCCCAAGAGTTTCTTCTTGCTCCGGTGCTGGCTCGCTGGGCTTCGGCTCCTCCTTAGGGGCATTTCCAGCTCGGGTATCGAACTCGGCCATGAGGCCACTGGTAAATTCACTATCCTCGGGGTTCTGTCCCTTCAATCGTCGCAGCCGCTCAGCTAGGGTTTCAGTCTCGTTGTCACTCTCATCCTCGGGTTCGGACTTGGGCTTCTCCGGCTTAACTTCCATCGTAGAGTAGACAGTAACGGGCCGTTTCTCTGGGGCTGGTTCTCCCCGAAGGCGAGCGCGACGAGTACTCAGGGGTTCGTTTTCTTCAATCTGATGTTTTGCCATCAGACCGACCGGTCGGTTCTCGTCGTCCACATTGATCTTCTCAGGATACAGCATTGCCAAGGGAACATCGTCGTCATCGGCATTATTGTTAGGATCCCATGCCAGAGTAACCGGCCGCCTGCGTCTCTTCTCACTTTGCTTTTGGGCCATTTCATCCATTTCCAACAGAGTAGCACCCATACCTTGGGCTTGAGAAGCGGTAGGAACAGCTGTACGAGTCCGCTGTTTCAGCTCTTGCTTCCGTAACTGTAGTTCCGCGAGAAGCGTGTTCGGTGGCCCGACATAATCATCTTCTTCGTCTTCCTCCTCCTCGTCTTCGCCGCTTTCTGGAGAAGATGAGCCGCTCTCCATTTCGGACCCACTGCCAGACTGACCATCGTGCGATCTATGGTGGTCGTGGTCGTGGTCACCAGGTTGTTGAAGTTCTCCAACTTCTGAGTGAGCCGAACCTTCCTCGCTCTCTTTGCTCTGCGGTTGACCCATCAGGTATTGAGAATTGCGGTCTAGCTTTTGGCCAGGAAGAATCTTTGTAAGGGTCTTGCGCTTTGCATTCCCATACACATGGGAGCCAATCTGACCAGCAAAAGGGTGGTCGGTGAAGGCCGAGACCGGTGCATATGTCGAAGCGTCGAGAATGCTATCGAGTGTCGCGACAGCAGAGTCCTGTTTAACCTGGATATCGAGAGGGGCACTTGGCGGATCGAAAAAAGATGCTTGCGCGGAGTTGTTGGGGAACAGTCGATTGACGTTTGTCCTTCTGGCCGTCTTTCGTCGTTGTTTTCTCTGCCAATTTGTCTTCGGCGGCAATCGAGTTCATAAGCTGGGTGCGACGCTTTTCACGGTCCGAGATGGGCTTGTGTGACAGCTTCGGTGGCAGATTTAACATGCGAGGGACAGGTGCTGGATAATAAACCATTTGTTCCCCCGACTGCGGAACCTTGTACGATTCCGGCTTGCTTGCAAGGGGAGGCTGGATCAGGGAGAAACGCCGTCCGCTTTCCGCGCGCTCCAAAGGGTTGAAGTGAACACCATCAAAGTCATTAAACAGCGTGCGGGCCTGGTGAAAGGTATCACCCGATGCGGCTGATGCTGGCCGCTCAACTTCCTCCGTGGCATCATGGCCACCGCCATAATGATTGTATTGAACTTCACTTGTTTGGCTATAGATCTGGGGTTGTGGGGCGGGTAGGATCGGCAACGGCGTAGGGAAATGGTCGGCATCGCGCCCGTTCTCGTCATGATCGGGCTCCGTGACCTGGGCCAGTCGCGAGGCGCCGGATACGGAACGCTGGCGTGTGGAAAAGGTCGATCCATGAGCGGAGGCCACAGTCACCGGGGAGAATGCACCATTCCGCATAATGATTGAGTTTGAGGCGGAGCTGCATGAACGCCTCTTCTGCTCCTGATCCATCTTGCGTATTTCACTGCCGATATCTGCAGAACTTGAGCTCAGGCGCTCTGCTGTCATTTCCAATCGCTCTACATTGCCTACATAGGCACCTTGGAGCGATTGAAGGTCTGGGATCGGATGGCTAAGAGGGAGAGGGATGTCGCTGGAGGCGCTGTGCAAGGGGGGGATCGGGGGAGGAATGTTGCGCGACAGCTGTATTGAGCGGAGGGATAGCGCGGGAGCTGCTGGATCGCTGATCGTGGGAAGGATCGGCATCGTAGTCATCATCTTCGACTACATCGTAGCTGGTTGAGGTCATCGAGCGGATCATCGAGGCTAGATCTAAACCAGCCTTGTCGGACGTTTTGGCGGACTCCAGATGGCTTCCACCATCGAGGTGATCGGCATCGCGTAGTTGTTGGAAAGGTCCATGTGAGGGCGATGGGCTGCGCGACAGGTCGGAGCCGGAGTGAGAGGCGACCTCGTCCACTTGGGCGACGGCGTTGTAGGCCATGGTCTCAGTGTAGGTCATGCGACCGTGTAGGTGTAGGTGTAGGTGGAGGTGGTGGAGGAGGTTGCGGAGGAGGAGGAGAGGGTGAGGGAGCTCAACAGTTGGCCTCCAGACACCCCGGGGTGGAGGATGAATGGGCTCAAAGACTGGGGCAGCAGAGGGGAGAGGAGAGATTATGTATGAGTGGTACTACTCGTACCATCTGTTAGAGGGTGAAAGCCAGGGACGAAAGTGAAAGTGAAAGTGGACTGAAACCCAGGAACCCAAAAGGACCACTCGTGTGTCACTCGAGGTTGTGATTTTTTAATTATTTTATTTTATTTTTTTTGCCTCTGAGGTTGGAGCTAAAATTGGAAGTACGGAGTAATACAAGGCACAATGTCTCTGCCCCATCTGCCCCATCTTGCCCCCCCCCCCCCTTGGAATGCTTCACAAAACAGGGTATTGAGTATTGAGCACTGAGGCCAAGACAAACCGCCCCGTGGGTGTGGGACCCAAAAAGGGACGAGCGCGCGGTCTGGCCCGTGGGGGGCTTCTCCGTGGTTCGGAAGTATACACTCTCGTATGTGGCGTGGTTCGCATGATTGCTGCTATAGATGCAGCCAGGTGGGATTTCAATTCAAATTTAGTCGTACACTAGTATCTGGCTGCAGTTGAAATCTTGCGATAATATAAATATAAAAATAAATACTAGTACTAGTACTAGTTCTATGTAGTACTCCGTACCAGTATCATCATCTCTCCAATCCCGGCAGGGATCGACTCGATCTACAACAAACTTCTTCACCCAATCCCCCTTAAAAAAGTCAATCGGAACTTCGGTTTTGGTTCTAGACAATTCCCAATGAACAAAGAGCCTGGCAACAAAGTAAGAAAAAGGAAATATAGAAGTAGTATAGTGTACGGGGGAAATATAACGAAGATCTATCTATGGATGCTGAATCAAGGCTTGACAAAGGTCAAAAAGTCCAGCGACAGATCAGTAAAGAAGCTGGCCCCACCCACGGTCTTGGGTGATTAGACTCGGTCACATTGCAGTACTCAATGAAACTGCCTGCTTTCTGGCTCTTTTTCTTGAGAAGAGAAACATACTTGGACAAGAGACAGCTCTTACCCGGTCCATCATGGCAGCTCGCAATAGGATAAACCGCGTCATTGAACAGCACCCGAACATAAGGCTCAGTCGAAGAGTCGTGTTTATTTCCAGTACTGCAATTCAATACCTCAAATGCGACCGTGCCGCGCATGGTAATCCAATGGGCAATATTATAAAGGTGATTCTTTGGGATGCGCGTGGAAGAAAGGGGAGCTTCCTCGTCGAAAATCCCCATGGCTGCCGTCATCTCCGCAATCTGATTGTCATTTAAAAACGCCATGATCAAATTGGGGACCGTAAAGGGATTCCCGTCAGCATCGACGCCGGTTTGACCAGGTCCCTTGCTGAGCAGTTCTGTCAGACTCTCAAGGAACGGTAGGAAGAGCACCGGCGCAGGTCCATCTGCACCGGGGCCGACGCCATAATAGTAGCTCAGATCCTGGGAATACGCATAGTTGCGCAACTCATCCTCGGTGAACACCCCACACCAGGGACTGAGGTTGCCAGTGATCTGACTCTCGTACCCGCACAAATAGGGGAAGAAGAGGATGTCGGTCTCATCAAAGGTGAGATTCCCTTTCACCAATGAGTTGATACGTTTCAAGGCTTTGGGGACCCATGTATCGTCGACTGTGAATAGAGTTAGCGATATGGTCATCATAGATCACAAGGTCCGGGCTGGAATCATCACGCACAGTCTGTTACATTGTTGCCTCCGCTGGCGGTAGACGCAAAGGTCGGACACGAGTCTGATGGCCCGAGCGAGTTACCAATGGCATTCACGGAGCCGGTTGAGTTGACGCTGACAACCGTTCCGTATGTATCGGCAAACTCATAGAGGTAACCATTCACGAAAGCACGAGCGGTTTGGACTACTCGAGACTCGTTGATGGGGTTCTTGTATTGATTCGCCCAAACGTAAAATGGGTTACCATCCTCGTAAAAGCCAGGATCTGCACAATAATTAGTAGACATCGACAGATATTCATTGCAATGAGAATCTTACACCGAGCTCGAAGTTGATAACCAAGATCACTAGCCTATAGCCAATCAGCTTCCTTCTACGTTGGAGGGAGCGGTCACCATACCTCTTTCCATCCTGTCATAGACTCCTGGGCTATTTGGAGGGTTGGATTTGTCAACACCGGACTCCAATCCTCGATGAAAGAAAGTGAGCCGCGAGCATTAAAGCCCGTGCCATTGACGGCAATTTGAATCTTCATACCAAGCACTCGGGTAAGCCACTGTACAAATAAAATTCCTTGAAAAAGCAAACCTTCTCTTGGAGTGCCACCCAGCTATTGTACGATCCTGTATCGGGGAATCTGAAGTAGAAATTTAGCCAATTATCTCAGGCTTCCCCTGTTATCGCTTACCTGCTCCCGTGTCTCACAACATAAGCAGCCTGTTGCACTGTGCACTTTTCAGGCGTCTCGTTGCTCACTCCGTTGACATTCGGACCTGCGAAGTAAGGGCTATTTCCACCTGAATACTGCAGAGGATTCTGTGCTGTTCCGCTGGAGGGAAATAGAATATCATTGGCCGGAGCGAGCACTGCGGCGTTGCCCGTAGCTGCTAGCAGAAGTGAAGATACTGCAGCGGTTTTGAAGTAGTTTGCCATGGTCGTATTTATTGAACAAAACGCATACTCCTGATTCTTGTGGCGAATTCATAACATTATATAGCTACCGAAGCCGGCGATGTTGCGGACCTGCGTTAGTTTCGCCGGCTAGTCCGTACGCAGCGCCACGAAGGGCTGGCCCCGCGAGCCTATTACCGGCGCACGTGCCGGAGTAATTACGCCGTGAGATTTAACCGAGATGAAGCCGATAATTAAACTGCTTCCAATCTCATCTAGAAGTTCGATGCCTTAAATGGCTTTCTACTTTAGAAAGGCTCGGCCACGTCGGCTACTACTGGGAGCGTACCAAGCCCCAATGATTGCCTATCATTTATAGAACGTGCCCGGTGGTCTAATCAATAAAATCCTGGTGTTTATAATAGTCTATCTATGATGGAAGATTGCATTTCTTGATAATTATCTATGCAGGAGTTGAGTTAAGCGACCTATCCAAAAAGCCCTGCCCTAGATTCCTCTTCTTCATGGATGACTTGAGCGCCGACACGCTCTTCTCGATGTCGGCAAAAATACCCGTCATGGTCGACCGACCGCAGGCATGTTCTTGATGCTTGGCAGTACTGCCAATATCTCGCTTTTTGAAGTTCATACCAGGCGAAACAGTTACGCAATTGTATTGTGACTCGCCGGCCCTCAATTGGCAGATTTCCTCGGTTTTGCAGTCGCCCGAACACGACTCAACTTCCCATCCTCGAGTCTTGCGCGCGATGTAGTCCTGGAACACCGAATCCTCGTTTTCAAAGAGTGCAGTAACATTGTGCCAGAATGCAGGTGTGAGTTCCGCGGCATCGTCGGTTACGGCTGGCTCAAGAAGCGAGCCGTATGTTTCCTTGGCAGAGTAATATTTATCCCAGACTGGATTCTTCTGGTAGCCCGGGGTTGACATATTTGTGATGTAAACGGTGAAATCCAGCACGCCAAAAGTCACCGGGTCGACCGAGTAAACGCGGAAGGTGGGATTTCCAGAAGTTGGGGTCAAGGCTGGGGCAATATAAGACATCATGTTCGCGGTGTCAGCCGATTTGGCGGTATAATTAGAGTAGGATAGCTCAAATTCGTCCTTGTGGGTGTGGCCGTAAAAGGCCCCAGCAATAGTCGTGTCGTAACGTTGGATGATTTGGTTGAAGTAGTTCGATCCATCATGAAGGGTATCTCCAGAGCCCATCGGCATGTGTCCTAGAAGCCAAACTCGTTCACCAGCCGCCTCCGCTGCACTAAGCTCCGTGACCAGCCATCTCAATTGGCCATTGGGGTCCGTTTCCATGGTCTTTTCATATAGCCAGAAGTTCTCTCTGTAATAAAAGTTGGTGTTGAAGGAGATGATTCGCAGGTTGCTACCAGGGTGTTTTACCGAATATGCACCATAGTTGTCTGCCGATGTCGCTGCCGTTGATCCGATCCACTTGCTCCAGGCAGAGGAAAGAGTATCATAGACCCACTGGCTGGATAAAGTGGTATCAATCGCAGCGGTTGGGAAAGAGTTGACAGGCGCCGCGTCGTGGTTGCCAACAACACCGTACACCTTATTGAGATAGGATGGCATTCGTTTGTTATAGGCATCGTTCAGATCATTTGTCACTTCGGTTTCATTGACAAGCCAGACGGCACCTTCGACCACGTCGCCGGTAAAGATGGTGAAGGATGCATCAGGAACGAATTGATCAATGGCTTTGTACATGCTTTCCTCTAAGCTCAGGGGTGAATCGCAGTTTGAATTTCCATATTCACCAGCAGGGTAGCTTGTATTTCCTGGGGCATCGGCATCGGTGTATGGCCGACAACAGATATTCTTTGTGCAGTTATAGCTGGGATCATTAGCAAGAATCGTGAGAACCAGGAGCTCAGGGTGATATACTTTGCACCAACTTCATAAGAAAGATCGACATGGATGTCACTGATGTGGACGATTTGAAGAGGAGTCTGACCGCTGGAAGATGGTCGAGATGCATTGGAGGGTTTAGCAGAGGGGAAATCTATCGTATACTGGGTCACGTCTGGATAATCGCAAAGACCAAAAACGGTCGAGCAGAAAAGAACTGCATTTGTGGATGGGATGTCCATGTTGCGGAGATCGTGTGCCAAAATTGGCCCTTCAAGAGAGATCGCTCCCTCGCAGACATCCTTGTCCTCGACCTAAAACGCCATTAGATGTCGTCTTTATACATAAAAAGGATTCAATTTACCCCAGCCAAGACACAAACATCGGTGATCACGTCCACAAATGCATCATTGCCCAGGTGGGCCAAACCCTGCAAGATACCAAGTAGAGCCTTTATTGCAGATATACGGTCAATGGATTGCACGTTTAGGAGCTTTGCTGACCCTTGATATCTAACTTACCTCACAACTGCCGCAGGTCACTGCATTTTCAAAGTCGGAGAGAATTTCATTCGCAGTAGTCCTCTTGGCAACGTCGTCTCCCTCCGATAAAGCGAATGAAGCACCTAGCAGGCTTGCAGCTACGATCCACTGACGAAGAAACATGTTCGATCCCAGTGCAGAGAACCAAGGGCCAGCAGCTTTGACTTGTCCAACTTTTCCAGCTTTGAGCGACGACCTATTTAAAGTGTGCAATGTGGTACAGACTAACCTTTAAACCAACCCCACGACAGAATTCCACTGCCTTGCACTAACGCAAGTCCGATGAAATTGGCTTCATCGCACGTTGGGCTTCTTTCAGTAGTGATTGACTACATACTGCTAAGCGAAGCGGAGTTTGTGCCACAAGTATCGCAAACCGTCAGTCTACCCGCACGAGGGGCGCTGATCGCTTGATGCCCATTGGCGCCTTCGGGGGTTCGCCATCAAGGGATAGTACAGTAATTACCAGCTTTCCATGTTTGGAATGGTTTCTCCGAAAGTGCCGGTCGGCACACTATTAAGGCGCTAAAGACAATCTATTCGCTGAAGAACACGCATCGGGCTCAACGGCTACGGGGAATTTACCCCTTTAAATGGCCCACCAATCCGTCTTATCTCCACCGGATACGGAATAGAACTGACAACGCCGATCATTGTGGGCTTTAAATAGCTCGTGATTTTATGTCCTGGAAGATATGACCGTTCCTACCTATGGATACTAGTATGGATTCAAAGTTGCAGGTTGCCCACCTGCCAAGGTGGGCATGACAGACTCGGGAGCGCTGATCATAGTAGGAGGCTCTCGATGGAAGTTCGGACTTCTGTTCTACCACGGGCATTATGGTTGAGATACCTATTCAAGTAGAATCAAGTTGATGCTTACTCCAGGGCTATTTCTCGGACTTGTGCCCACGAAAATAAATTATGAGCGCGACTGTTCAAGTTGTTGCCCAGGTGTATATATACCGCCCAGGTGCCCATGTGCCCAGACATTTAAGGTACAACTACAAACCTTGGAACTAATAGTAGCCGAATCGCGTGAAGTATGTAACAACATCAAGGTTGTGATGACGGTGATAAAGAAGAGGGTGTCGACAATAGATGAATCGAAAACCATCGTCGCCAAATTATTATGACGCGTTTGGGTTCTGCCACGGTTTCAATATTGCGTTGTCAATTCTAGTAGATGACCTGGAAAGGGAGTCACGGCCGAACAAGTAAATAACATCCTGTCTACTGGGCGGAAGGAGATGTTCTCTAAAAGGAGACGTAGGAAGCTCTATTCAATCACGATCTCTTAGTGACAAAAACACTTTGCAGCTAATACAAGGACTGTGTTCAACATCTGAAGATTGTGGGTGGGTCGGATTCCCGATTAGGACAGTCATCGTTAAGATGCACGTGATCACGCGGCGCGCCGGCCAAAACGGCGGGACGCGCTGGACTCGATTCCCCGGCAGCGAGCGACGAGGCATCATTCGCCAGAATGTCGTACTATGACGTTGATTCCATCTTGACAGATGCACAGGTAAATTCAGACTGATTTATGATATGACTACTCAACTCAAGAGCTAACAGCTGGTGCCAGAAACTCCCTTGTACGTTCGAACTAGAAGTTCCAGGACTGGGCATCCTGGAAGGAAATCCAGGCGAAGATGTACGTTTTTGAACACCCACAGTTCTGGAAGAATCATCCTCACTCATACATCTTAGATTAAACCGGGTACTCGCATCGATCTCCCACTATGGCTGGGCGAGATGCTGTCCATCGGGTAAGACTGCGGCCCCCGCTAGGCTATTTGCCAAGTTAAAAGGCAGGAATGGCAAGTCATTTCTGACATTTGATTGCTACAGTGCACGACTGGGGACATCCCGTTTGGTCACGCTTGATATGCCGTCCGCGCTGTCTGAGCGAGTGATGAACGCACTGAAAGCAGACCCACGAACGGTTGACCTGCGTTCCTTGGCACCGCATTTCTACAGCCTAGGCGAGCGGATTCTCGAACTCTTTGAGGAAGAGGAGTTGGTCGACGTTTTGATGGAGGTATGCTATTGGCGGTGTTTCCCAGAAACCCTTGAGTGGGAATTGGTATTTCTGACATGGATTCTAGACCTTCAAAAAACGGGCGGCTGAGGTCTCTGATCAAGCTCACAACCCGCGTGGAGCCGTTGGAGACGGAGTGGATTTTCTCCGAGGTCTCGACGAGACAGAACGTCAGCGTAAGTTGCAGAGACTATTGTTCCGCCCGGCGGGGGCCAATGTGCTTTATTGGATCGAACTGACAGATTGCAGTGTTCCGAGCGGCTCATGATCGGGCTAAGGAGATGCGGGTCTGGAGCGGAGAGGCGAAGCGGAAATGATCAGTCAAGACCGACTCGAGACTCCGACTGAGCTGTGCTCGTTGAGAGAGTTCGGGGGCGGGAAAGTTGATCTATCAGGTCAAATTTAACTACATGAACCATAATAATGACTGCATGCCCAAAGGAGATGTGATCCACAATCAGCGGCATTTTCGATACCATTGTCGATCCGAATGAAAGTAACTTTGTCTTCCAATTTGTAGGCAAATTTCTTGAAACCTCCAAAAGGGGTACAACTAGCAGTACGAATAGCTTCCAGCTTATCGCGTTGCGCATGGATGATGTGGGGGCAAGTCAACCTTGGAAGATGACAGTGAAACTTGTCGATGCGACCTGTCCAGTGCGAGTCTTTATAGGAATATAATTTATATTTTGTACTTTGATACCTAGGTACTCTTGTGTGCTCCGGGTGATAGGTACATCCATTGCATACATATATACATAAGTTCCTTAGTTTGGATGGCTGCACATAGTGGGGCGGGCCACGCGATTTCAGTTTTGCTTTTGCTTTGCATGAACTCTTGGACTGAGAATCTAGAATGTTGAAGTCCTTTCTGTGCGAGTATCCGTACTTTGTACTCCCAGGTGCCAAAGTCAGAATGGTCCAGGATCACCTGGCCAGGCAAATGGAATCCTTCGACCCGAGCGTAAGGATAGCTGAAACCGACCCCACGGGCGCCATCCGATTGGGTTGAACTGATGTCAGGCACAGTGATCGCCCCGATGATCTCGTCCAGAGAGCTAGCGGGGGCTGGTTAGCCTCTCAGCTAGGGGAAGGCGGAAAAAAAAATAAAAATAAGTCGAGTCGAGTCAAGTCAAGGCGAATCTTCCATTCCTCGCCTCATTCCAGTCGTCTCCATGGCGGGGGCTTCCTCTCTCTCACTCTCACTCTCACCACACTCATTCTTTTAATCCTTTCTTTACTACTATCACAGGGTAATGCTACGTGCGATTCATTACTTCGCCCCGCGTGACTCGTCACAATCTCTCTCGATCCCTCACCTCGATAACCTCGATCTCAATCTCGATACTTTATACCTTCCCCCCCCCTGGTGGATTGCCCCTGCACAGCCAGAAACCTTGTATTGGTCCCACAAGTTCTTCTGTTCGCTTCTCGTCGCCTTCAATCTGCATCCCTCGCTTCCTGCAGTCAAATCTTCCTCTGCGCAACGTCGGATCATCCAATACATTGCCTAGCGATCGTCTCATTGTGGCACCAGGCCTTCCAGATTCGTTAATTAATTATCCGATGAGAGTGGAGAGCTCCGCTCTGAATTACTTTTCTCAGAGTTCCGATTGCGCAGGTCGCACACGGAATCGCAAACGGGGGATCATCGCCGCATGGGAGTACTAGTACATACAGTACTCGTATGCACAGTGCACAGTAGCCATGGATGTAAACGACCGGAAAACGCAGCGCCGCAGCTCGGCCGCTCCCTCGCACCCGCAGTCCCAGCCGCGAGGCACAGTATATCACTCTGAGACTACCCCATCCACCCGCAGTGCCTCCTCCAAGCGTTGTCCCAGCAGTAAGCCTCTCCACCCCCTTCCGTCCTAACTGCCCAAAACAAAACATCCGTCGAGCTAACCTTCGCTTCTCCTCACTTCAGATCAATCTGATCGTCCACAACATCCGTCCTTGAACCGAGTGAAGGGTAGAGCCAATATGAATACTCCTCCCCGGAAGAGCCCAGAGATGTCCTGGCTCAAGGATCAATCTCCTGTGCGTGGGACACGAACTCCGCCTCGCCCATGCAGTAGGTCCCCTCTTCCTCCCTGTCTAGGAATCATTGGGCGAATGCATCTAATGCTGGATTTGTGATTGCGACAGAAACATCTGAGCCTGGTACTCCAACCACATTGGTGAACCCGGCCTCTAGTCTTCTCCAAGATCTATTGAAGGAGCAGCGTGCCCATCGTGGTTCTCGAGGAACCGGATCTGAAGAATGGAATGATAGCCGCCCCAGGACCCCCGAGAACCGTTCCGTCCAGGAAGACACCGCCTCTGAGAAATCACGGAAGATGAAGGATACTTTTGCCGCAAGCTCACGGGAACAGCCGAAGGAGATGGGCGTCCGAGAGATGGATCAGGTGGGTCCCTCGGTAGAACCGATCGATCGATTAACACAAATCTGACCCCTGGAACAGTATGTTTCGAAAATCACCAAGCTGAACTTCGACCTGAAGTTGGAGATCTTCCACCGCACCCAACAGCTGGGAACTATGGAGAAAAAAATGGAGCGAATGGAAGAGATGGAAGAGGAGCTGCAACAGATGCACAAACTCGAGGAGGAAGTGGTGGAGCTCCGTGTGGCTAAAAAGCAGAACCACAGCCTACAGGAGTCTAACGATCGGCTTCGGGAGGAACTTCATAAGCGAGACCAGGCTGTCGCCGAAGCCGTACAGTTCATCTGCCAACTGGAGGCTAAGATCGACGAGATTGAATCGGGCGGACGCACTTCCCAGGCCTCATTTGGTCGTCTTGTGCTCGATGGGCCCAATGCAACACCGAGGAAGACAGCCCTTGAAATTCCAGAGCGAACGTCATCCAAGCGAGCATCTTTGAAATCGCCCGAACGCACTCTCAACAAAGTCCCCTCGTTCATGCGAGGAGACAGCGAAAGCACTTCGGTCCTGCGCAGCTTATACGTCCCAGAAGTGAATATGTCATACTCAGCTATGAGTCAATTGACGAAATCGGAAAGCTATAACACTATGAACGACATCCTGGAGCCGGGATCGCCCAGGCTCAGTGTACTGAGCGAGTGCAGCGAATTGCATCCATTAGATACCCCTACGAAATGGGATCAAGCTGACAAGCTGGATATTCCTGTGCGCAAGGTTTCATCTATGGATTCTTTTGACAGTTTCAACCCCCGGCTCGAACGCGAGGAGAGGATAAATCCCCAAATTGACGAATGGATGGAGCCGCATCAAGATATGCAACAGACTATAATCAGACGGCGCATGAATCGAGTCGCGTCAGATGCTTCCAAAATCCCAACAGCCCCATTCAGGATTTCGTCTAACCATCAAGGACGCGGGCGTCTGGACGAGTCGCTCTTTGTCGGTGTCAAACTTCCACCCACCCCCGATACTATGAGTACCGCTCATGTGGCAGGTCGCAACGGCTCAAATGGTAGCATGGCGGCCGCTGCGCAGAGAAGTCCCAAGCCTGAACACGACCTTTGGCTTGCTGGTCGACCATTGGAACGGCATCGCTCTGCTGATGAGCTCACAACCCGAACTCGCCGCAGCTACACTGGCAGCGACGTCACAGACAGTATGCAAACAAACTGCAGCGATACCCCTCGCCTGGGCTTCATGAACGATAAAGAATCCCCCTCCATGTTCCCTTTCAACACGGTTGCCTCGAAAGCCAGTGAACTACTTGGGCCTGGAAGTCCCAACAACCCTGTCGTTGATCCATTCGGGGGTCTTCTCCGTCAAAACAGCAATGGTAGCCAAGATGAAGCAGTGCCTCCGGCGATTGCTGTGTACCAAACCCCTACCAAGACTGTTTCCAAGTCTCGGTCCATGGAAGATGAAGCGTCACCTCCGCTCACTCCCCAGGAGTGGATCGCCGCTGCAAGGCACGCTCCTCGGTCTCGCAAAGAGCTAGCTCATGGCCTTCGGGTTGAGCGAGAGGGGCGTGATGACCTGCCACCCCGCAAAGTTATCAGCCAGGCCGCATTCCATGACGAGGATAGTGTTGACTCCTACCCAATGGAGCATGATGCGCCAGGGGTCCCGACCCTCGACATGGACACACTCAATATCCTTGAACAGCCCATTGCTGAGGTCCCTGAAGACCCCGTTCCGCAGCAGAAATCCGAGCCTGAACAGCGCCGGCGCTTCAGCTTCCGGCCCCCATTCCTGAATCGTGCAAACCTCCCTCGCCGTCTCCAGCCCTCGCAGACTGTACCTGACCTGATGGACGACGATGAGGAGGACGGCGCGCCGTCGCCAATTATCCCGAAGACTCGTAATGTGGGCGGCGCAGGTCGTCGTCCTATGTCACAGATAATCGCCAACTCAACGGACTACTACTCATCCAGCGTCCCTGCTCCAAACGAGAGATTCGGAAACGAGAACTTCACAGTCAAATCCTTTCACCAATCTCTAATGGAGAGTCGCGACGAAAACCTTCCCCCTATCCAGAATGGATCTGCCACCATTTCTGGACGTCCCACAACATCCCACAGCGCAGATCACAAACGTCGCAGCTCACTTGGAATCTTTGGGTGGATGAAAGGGATGAGTGCTAAACGCCCAGAACCCGCAACCCCTGCTGATGCAGAGGATTTTCCCGAATCTGTGAAAGACCCGCGTCCAGTTTCGCGTCTTACACATGAGACCAGTCGGTTGACGTTGGGGCGACCTTCCACTCCAGATTCAATGGACGCTCCTCATGTTCGTCCGCGCTCGGAAATGACAATGTACTCCGACGACCAGGCCCGTCGCCCACGTTATATGGGTCGTCGCGCTCGTTGGGGGTAATTCACCCCGATAGCAAACTTCTGATGCTTTCCCAACTCTCGCTGTCCTCGCTCACCTCCTTGTACTTATGATACCCACGTCCATGTATAACAACAAAAAAGAGTGGGCAGCTTCAGGAAAGGTGTTATCATCCCAAGACGGCCGATTCCTTTCGTTCCTCGGGATGTGAATTTGCGATGGTTTTGTACACTCTCCTATGTATCCATATTTCAATTCTTCCTGCCGGACAGGAAGAGTGCTCATGTTTTAAACGATTTAAGTGCGCAGCATATTTCTATGGAAAGGCTAAAATGAAAACTACCGGATTTGGGTTTGCAATATAGCTAATTATATTATTCAGTCTCTGATGATTTTAAAAATTGCATCGAATCAAATCCTGCCCTTCGGGATTCTCACCCAAACATTTTAGCCCTCTATCGTAGATTACGCCTAGTCGCTTTTCATTGATGTTCACTCTCAAAAAATCCGTAATTTTGTGGCATCCAGGCCAATTCGTCACCCGTTACTCCATTACCTGTCCTCGTCATCAAACGCCGTCCTTTGAAAAGGGTACCAAGATTTTTTTTTAAAAAAAAATCAGATAATACACGAAAGAAACAAAAGGATTAATTAACCGCGACCTTCAAGGTTAATACCAATCGTTACCCTTTTCTCCTAATTTCTTCTTTTTCGGATTGAGAGAAATCACACGTTGGCCGGGGAGCGCATCGGCAGTAAATGCCGCCTCAAAGATACTCGCGATTCCACGCTTAGCATAATGAGCGAAAGCGTCGTAATCATCGCGTTTCCCATTCACGGCTCCCCACTCCAGGCCCTGTGGAGACATACCATTGCCTAGGTCACTCCAGCGTGTCACAACGATAGCTTGTCTAAACACGCCGGGGCGCGAGTCACCGCGGTCTTCAGAAAGCTTCACTTCGATGAGATATTCAGTCGGACACTCGGGGCACCGACGCATAGGCCTGCAGAACCCACAGAGCGTAGTCAGGGCATTAGGATCAAACCCTGATCCCTTCCAGCGATCCTTGACTTTGTGTTCGAGGCCCTGTAGTCCGCCTGTCTCGCGTGGTCTGGGGATATGGCCTAGCGCGCACTTACAGGCGGGCATGAGTTCGCCGTCCCGCCAATGTGCGCAAGCAGAAAAGTAGGGCCAGTAGTCTTCGCGTGAGAAGAGGAGGATTCGTTGTGCTGATGCAGGCAGGTCGGCTGGCGCAAATGCCTGGCTAGTTACCCGCATCATCAGCCGTCCTTCATGAATGTGGAATCGTGAGCTGAACGACCAGCCATCCCGTTGCCAACGTCTACCCATGTCCTCGACAGGGATTCCATATCTCGGCCCGAACCGATGCGCACGCATGACGAGCTGGACAAAGGAATATGGGAGCATTCGGCCGTGCGTGATGCGGTGCCGTGGCGCTGGATTAAGCGCGTTGAAGGCATTGGCGCAGTTGAACAGCGGGTTGATAACGTGGGCCGGCCTCATGCGTTCCTGTCCTTCCTGTATGCGGCGATGATACCGGCCACAAGGGAAACAAAGTAAATGATGCGGCAGAGACTGATCAAGTCTGGCCAAGAAATCAAGTTTATAATGTAAGTTCTGCGACGCATCCAGCGAGAGGAAGTACCGCGGTCCCAGACGGCGGTACAGTGTAATCGTCGCAATTGCCAAGCTAGCCGCATCAGCCGGATCCAAGTACCAAGCAATAAGCGCCCACAGTCGCGATGGCAGCTTGGCAATATCCCCTTCTCCAGGTTCTCGATGGTCCTCGAGCTCCCCGGTAGGCCCATAGCTGTCAACCGGATCCAACAAGCCAAGAGAGTGGATCATGGTCGTGTAATCGCGGCGCTCCCCCAATTGCGTGTCAACATTAGCATGCATCTGCTTATATTTCTCCCGGTGCATCTGCAAGGGCGCAAGATTAGGCATCGGAGGTGGTTCATCGGCGCTGGGACATGCGGCCAGCCGCAGGTCGGTCGTCGAGCGACTGCCCTTCCGGAGGGTTTGACGGGATTTCTTGGGTCGCAGGGCGTTGGTGAATAGGGATCGGAAGCCCCCTTTCGGGCCGGGACTCTCTGCCGACATGGTGAATTGCGCACGACTTGGAGGTCTGGGGTCCTGCGAGTGGATTTCGAGTGGATGTTTGTAGAGCCTTGAACTTGAACTCGAAGACCCTAGGCTGCCCCGAGGGCTTACGTGACGGCCCGCGTCGGCCCGGGTGAGCCACATCTGTGGCTGTTCTATATATAGTGTTTTTGAGTCTGCGATTGTTGTCCGATATTTGGATGTATTCAAGTTGATAATAGGTTATTGTTTTTAGAATTCCTAGTTAACTTACTTGGATATGCAGGAATTCGGCATCTGACTTGGCACGTATATGTACTCACCGAAATATGGACGTGTTGGAGTATGAAGCCCTGGAGGGACAGGTTATAGACCGTGAAACTGCCACCATTACTAGTAGTAGTACATAACTTAATCTTCAAAGATCATTGAAGCATGGTTTATTGAGCCATCCCGACGTCACTCGACCCAACATTTTCTCATACATGTTCAAGTTTGAACCACTTCAAGTTTGAAACACTGAAATCTACAACAAGCAATTGGGAATTGGCTATCGCAACACGCCAATTGCTCATTCTGGTACTCCGTACTAGTTGGAGCATCTTCTAAAAGTTACTAGTAGCACTAGTAACGGCAACTATGACAGCCTACTACTAGTGTGCAGCTGGTGGCCAAGACCGCCCCTTTATCCCCCCGCCTTTTCCCCACCAAAATATGGGGTTAGTACTACGAGTGTCTGACTGTAATATGGCATTCATGGTGGGAGTAAATACTATATCATGGTCATATCTAGTACTATATGATATGTCTACGGCTACACATCTAGGTAGACGGCTTCAAGTTGATATCCTCTCAATGAGCAACTGTCGTATATACTCTGAAGACAATAGAGAACATATTCCATGATACTATATATAGTACCATTCGTGTTTTCCACTGGCACTACTAGTAATAGATGTACCCTGTCCATGGATAACGATATTAGTAGAGTTACACCCCAACCTTGGGAAATGCCGAGGTTGATAACAACCTGAACATGCAACTTTTAAAGTGCGAGGCTTTCTCACGGCCGAGGTTCGCATACTACTAGTAGTATTCGGCTTCTTTGTAAAAGCCAGATGGTTTTCTACCGCTAATTCTATTCTCCCCAACGCAGGGTCATGTGGTAGTTTCCACAATAAATCAATTGACCTGTGAAGCATCCGTTTACGCCTGCTGAACCTACCTCGGATATTGATGTTTGCGTCAAGTCCGAACATGAAGTACAGGAGCCAGCGGACCTTGAGCCTCTAAACAACCTTGGCCCTAATACAAGCATGTTGTTTATACGCGCTCAGGCGAAAAAAGAGTCTGACTGCAATGTTAGCTTCTACACCAGACACGCCGATGAATGGCCATGGCTTCGCTGATTTCTGTCAGTGGATCATGTGAAGCTTCTGTTACAGATCGACTACAATTGAAAACGTATTGAGAGGCTTGAATTGCTGAATATTCAGGATAAGATGAGGACCATTGCGTCGAAAACGCGACCGACTCTAATGCAGATTCTAGCGGTGCATTTTCTCTTGAAGGACCACCTGGATCGAGGTGTCTCATCCAGCTCGACATATGACGTGCTAGAAAAGAATGTAGTCGAATATCTACGCGCCAAAACATGTGCCGATTCCGAGTCCGACCCGGTTTCTCGACCGTGGCAAGATCTGAGCATATGGCCGCGTCATTTGAAAACGATCTGGCGAATATTCAGGTGATGCATCGCAGGTATGGTATCAGATAGAAATACAAAATGCCGCTAGGCATTGATTTAATATACGCATGCTACAATACATGGTAAATTTAACTATCCATCTCAAAGGTATACATATCAAGTCGCTTTCAAAAGGGTCACGGTGCAGTCCACTTAAGAGAAACGCTTCTCGACAGTCTTCCAGTTGATGACCTCCCAAATGGCCTTGAAGTACTCAGCCTTGCGGTTTTGGTAGTCGAGGCTAAATGGAGGGTTAGCAAGTAGTTGGGTGGGGGACTCTTGGTGGTGGTTATGCTTACTAGTAGGCGTGCTCCCAGGCGTCAATACCAAGGAGGGGCTCGAACTGACCGACAACGGGGTCCTGGTTCTTTTGGTGTGTCAACAGTTGTTATTCTACTCCTGACGGAAACTAGATTACTTACGGCGTAGGTGCGGATGCTGATCTGGCCAGTCTGCTTGTCCTTGACGAGCCAAGCCCAACCGCTACCCTGGATACCAGCAAGAGCAGTGTTGACCTTGTTCTGGAACTCACCGAGGCTACCGTAGGTCTCATCGATGGCCTTAGCAAGGGCGCCCGAGGGGGGCTCACCACCGCCGGCGCTCTTGGGGGCCAGGTTCTCCCAGAAGAGAGTGTGGTTAAGGTGACCACCGCCGTGGAAGTTGATGGCGGGCTTCAGGACAATCTGGGTAGCAATGTCACCCTTGTGCTGAGCCTCCTGGAGCTGCTCAACAGCGGTGTTGTAGCTGTTGACGTAGGTGTTGTGGTGGTTCTTATGGTGGAGCTCCATGATCTTGCCGGAGATCGACGGCTCAAGAGCGCCATAGTCGTCTTGGTGTCACGTTAGTTCATTGAGTTCTTTCTAGATATGCGATTCGATTCCGAGTGAAGTAATTCCGGGGGTACCGAGGAAAGAACAACTTACAGGAGAGGTCGGGCAGAGTTGCCTTGCCGCGGGCGAAGGTCAAGCCCGCAGCTCCGGCCTTGAAGGAAGCGGACGCTCCTGAGCGCAGAGCGACGCGTGCAGAGTTTGCGAGAACAGCAGCCATTTTGAAAGGTGGATTGGGGTATTAATGAAGACGGAGTGTGAGAAGAAGTATGTGGGAGGCGGAAGGGTTCAATTGAAGAGGAAAAGAAAGGATAAGCGGGAGACTCTCATAGCTAATGAAGTAACCGAGCTTAACGTCATTCTT